AACTTCTCTTAGTTGTTATTATCATCATTTCACACCCTTTCTTACTTTCTCTCTACCTTTCGTCTTCATTTCTTTCATATTTTATTTCTTCGTTGTTTTTTTTTTCTCTTCTTTTCTTCCTTTTTTCCTTCTTCATGTATTAATAATTTATTTATCCCAATTTTCTCTGGTCCTCGTTCGCTTTGCGAGTCGATCGCTCAGCCAATGGAACAATAGGCTGCGTTACCATGCTTATGTACTATACTGGTAAATAAATTAAATGTTAATCGGGTGACAAGTGATATTTGAAAAGCACCATGTTTTCCCAGTTTTCCTAGCCCTTGTTAACTACAGATGATTAATTTATTTATTCTTTTTCTTGGTAAACGATAGGCGAGGAATTTTTTTTTTCGTTTGTCTCGCGATGGAGTCACTTTGAAAGGTCGATGCCCTCTCCTAATTTGTTTTACTTTACTTGTCATATTATTACTTGAAGTCAGTTGTCATGTACTGCATTGCTTTGAATGAAAGATGACAACTTATCCGTATAGTAAGTTACTTACTTGTGTTCTTTTTGTTGTTTCGTTTCCTTCGTTTGAGGAAAATGGCGACAGCCACAAGCATAAGTATGCACAAAATAACAGACAGAGTTGTATAGAGGGTAAGTTCAGTACTTCCGCTGACAGAATTTTTAGTGTAGCTGCTGGAGGGCAATGCCAATGCCTCAGGTTCTGTTGATACTGAAAACAAATTTAAGTGCATGTTCAACTTTAATCAGTAAAGTTCTCATTAAACTTCGTAAAACAGTCATCAGTTTTTTCTTCAGCAAGTGATGCATAGGGACAAAGCAAGAGATGTTTAATGGTGAAAGAAAAAATAAAAAAGAAAGAGGAGATCTCGGATAAAAGTTAAACTGACGTGTCATTCCATTTCGGCTGACAGTTAAAATGTTCACCATTTCTCTGCTATCAATCCTCAGTACGAGAAAAAGATGGCGACTGGTACATTCACCCATAATTCTTAACGCACGAAAACCCTGACAACGTTCCTAAGAAAGTACAGAAAAGTTCTAATATCTTCAAATCTAGTATACACAATTTCGTCAGTGGAGGAACAAACATTACAAAATATGGCTTTCTTTGCTCTTAATGGGCTGCGTTCTTAGTTTCGCATGGCATTAAAGTAAATTGTACAGTACCATCTTTTTTCCTGCGAAGAATTAGACCCCGTCCAGACCATGTAATAAGGGTAAATGGTAAGTTTCTTCATCATTTACTTACAGAGGTAATGCAAACTCGAAGTCACTACGCTAACAACGTTACGCTTTAGACACGAAGGATGGATCTGATACGACGAATCGCGTCATAAATATTGTCGAATATATATACTCAAAACTAACAGTCCACACCAGTTTATGTTGTGAATATTGTGAAGAGATTAACCATGATTTTTATGTCTTATGCAAACGAGAAAAGTCAGAATTTTCCAGAACAGTATTCTAACCCTGTTTAGTGTGACGAAGAGCAGAGAGGAGAATACCTCCAACGCTGTGGGGATTTCTTCTTTGATATTTTAATTGCGAAGAAGCAGACCTCGCTAAGTTTTGATACATTTCTAAAAAATATCTTAAGATTGATTACCTTGGGTAGGGGCCTATATGGCGGATTCACTCTCTTACCTTGATCTTCTCTTGATATTACGTATATGCGTGCGAGTAAAAGTATAGTGATCCGTCAAAACTAGGCCTGGGTTGAGTTGGCAGTCCAGGTTTTGAGGACGAAGTTCCACAAATCCATTTTCAAATCAGTGTTTAGTTATCCTTACCTGTATGAAGAAAAGTGACCGTTATGGCTGTTTTTTGTGTAATCCTTGGTGGAAAGTCTGTTGTTATGGACAATATTTTTCCTTTTTCCAGTAAACTCTCGCCCCATCTGTTCCAAGCTGTTACAGCGAACAAGTAAGACGTATCAGCGGTAAGCTCTATGCGGAACAAAAGACCGGTAACATTCTCTTGAAACCATGATTTCTCACGAATCGTTGTGTCTTTTGTATGCCACACGGTGTATAACGTCACCAGGTGTCCTTCACTGTAAACCGGTGACCATTGCAGGGTCCAGCTGGCGTTGTACACTTTCTTATTTGTGTTCAATATTGTTGGGCTCTCGGGGAGAACTTATTTATTAAGCCGGAAAAAAAAAATTCACAGAATAAGTCTTTAGCAGTGTTATTTAAATGGAGCCCTAAGTCAATCAACTAAATAAAAAATTTAAATGACAGCTTATTAAAGAGCACACTTAATAGCGACAAAAAGAACGAAACTAGGAAGGACCCGAGAATGTGTATTTGAAGCTTGTGAAGCTTATCACGGAGCGAAAGAAAATGGAAAGGGTTACAGAAACACTCCGACTAACCATTTGAAAGGAATACCTCCCTCTAACAGGAGGGTACTTGTGGACGCACCATGCTTCCTCTAGAGCAGAAAGAAATGCTATTACTCTCTTAAGACGTCTTTTCAACCGATATCACCGACTTGAAGGTAGGGCTTGCCACAAGCTGCTCGGCAACTTTTTGGCAACTTTTCGTATTTCGAGCAACTTTCTTTGTTTCGAGCAACTTTTTGCATTCTGAGCAATTTCTAGTTTTCTATATATCGGAGCTGCTTTTAGGGCTTCAATTGGCCATACTTCTATATTTTACAATGTTTCAGTAGACAATTTGTGAATTTCCTGTGAAAAAAGAGCAGTTCCTCCTCCCTGGGGCAGATCACGGGCGAAGGGGGCGAAAGATGTATGCAGCCGGGCTGTTAGGTCAGCGGTTTTTTTAAAGAAAATCCAAAATGGCGGACGAAGATTCACGCTCTACTGATTCGAGTGTTTCAGGTTCCGAAGGTCATTCAGATCCTTTGGGGGTAGCCGCATAAGCAGGGGCAAGACTGAGTACTCTAGCGAAAATGAAAATGAAAATGATTAGAAGTCTTGACCGTGAACAGCAACGACAATTTTATTGGCTCAAATAGAATTTTTACAAAAGAGTAATATTGTTATATTGATATTGATGCGTAGTATTTACTCATACGTATTGTGAACAAATTTATTCAGCGACGCTGGTTACAACGCAAAATTGCACAAAAATGCTCAGAAATTTTACTTTTGCTGTATACAGATTGCATATTTTTGCATCAGACCAAATAAAAGAAGAAAGAGACAAAAAAAAAAGTTTTTGCTTTTTGTAGCAACTTACAGCAACTTTCGTTACAAAAAGCAATTTTTGACTTTTTTTGTAGCAACTTTTGAGCAACTTTTTGAGAAATTTCGGGCAACTTTTTGGGAAATCTCGAGCAACTTGTGGCAAGCCCTACTTGAAGGTATCAATATATTCCATTTGACGATTAGCTGTTTGATGCTGTTTTTAATTAACAAATTCAGTTACCTTTGAGGATAACACTCCTTT